AATGCAAAATGCCCTTTTTTAAAAGCCATGCTGCACCAGTTTTCATGGGTCGCAAATACCAAAACTAGCCTCCCCCGGCACAGATTTAGACTGTGCCTAGCGCCAGACTTGCAATTGCCATGGAAAAATAGAGACAGAGTGAAAGCAGAGCAGATGCAATATACTTTGTTTGAAAATCTAATTTACCCCCCACTAGATTTCATTATAGGGCCACTGCAGACAGTGAAAGTAACTTGTCCTTCAAGGCCATGTTGATCCATACAAGATGGAGCCTTTCCCAACAAGTACCTGTGTAGGCTATATCTTGTATTCTTTCAGCATGACTCAGATTTGATCTTAGCTTTACTGTTTCGTGCTTTCTACCATCTTTGTTACTGATTTATTGCTTTATTGTTGTATATATGTTAGTTGCTCCATGTATAGCACTTTGTATGCATGATGGCTGTTTGAAAGTGCTCTATAAATACAGTTGAGTTGAGTTGAGTTGTTTGTCCAGACATGCTGCTATTGTGTCCTTGAATATATTACTGGGCACTATGTATGGGAACATTCAATTGTTGTTGTCAATGGAGACATAGAATACTTGCCTGTAATTCTTATAATTTATTACACTCATTTTTTGTTCCTCAAGTGGGAAGTCAACACACAGTCCAATCGACTTTGTGTGCACACCACACCTAGAATAACATCACACACCTGCAAGCATGGAAGCAGAGATTCAGGGCTCTATTTTCGTATACAGCGCACATGTGCTTCGCATAATAACTCGCGCGCCTTCATTTTTGTGCTGAGGCAAGTCTAGTTTACAGTGTTTGGAAGTTTGGAAATGGTCTTCCACACGATGCCATCCTGGGCATTCTGGTGGACCAAAGACGTTTTTGATTCCCAGCCCCAAGGCACCTGACAATTTGGTGACAGAAAGTAGACCTTAAGTTTCTAGTTTGTGGCACATGTGGTGTTCCACCACTCTGGTGGATTTGATCGGACCATAGGCAGACATATGGTGGATGCCAATGGATTTAATTCATAAATAGGACAACAGCATGCATCGTAAACTCTCAATCATTGTAGAAATACATTTATTGAATCCTGTGATGAATTTGAGGGGAATGAGAGGAACCGTTTCAATTGGTTGGAAATAATATCAGCAATGTTCACTCCTACAACGGCGCAAAAATCCATTTCTACCAGCGCCCGTCGATAAAAATCCAAACAGAAAGAAAAGTCCACCCATGCGCACAATTAAAAAGTGTTTTGCGCTAGACGTGCCCGAAGCACGAAAATAGGGCCCTCAGAGTGAAAGAGGTGCACAAAGTGATGCATCAATTGCATTGATGAAGCCTTGCCCAACGGCACCTAGCCAGCAAAATTGCACCTCTCCAACAACTGGTCCCCATGTGTTCATTTTTTTTTAACTTGTCCGTTGATATTTATTTAATTCATTGATTTGTAGCATCCGCCCAAAAGAAAGCTCCCCTGGCACCTACTGCCCCAAACCAAGGAAAGGATGAACTAAGCTAAAAGATTCACTTTCCCTCTGAGACTATTAAGTTGTCAGGAGTAAAAGACTGGGATTGTTAAAAAGCAACAGCAAACTTGAATCCAATGTATTCAACCCTACAATGACTTGTAGATGGAGTCATACATTTGTGACTGCACCTCAGATTTACGATTCAGAAGCACGATCATGAAACTTGTTGTCCATTTAACCTCATTGTTGATCAGCGGATGCTGCTCTTTCACAAGCTTTGAGGAACAGAGCAGCCGGTGTGGAGGTGAACAGATCTGTTGTGTTGCTCGGAGGCAGCTGGGCCTGGCTCGAAGCCTGGCTCCATCCCCTCCAATAATGAATTTGAATCAGCCACAACTGAAATACAACAGAGCATCTGTGGAGTGAATTGCAGGTGCACCTATCGTTATTGCGACTGAACCGAATGTTAGGTCTCACTGCGAAGAATATGAGAATTGAGATCATAGGCAAGAAGAACAACAAACGCAGAACAGTTGTAATTTTGCAAGATTTAAACTGTTTATGAGAAAAGGTGTTGGCATCAATGTGATATGTGTGCATGATTAGGTGTTTCATAAGGGAGGCTGGCGCTATTCTCCTCTCAAAAATACACACATGCACACACAAAGACATAAATGATACCTTGCGGACAAATGACACAAATCAAATAAATTGTGTTTGAACTCGATGTATATTTTCGGATGTATATTTTAATGCCTGGTATCAATAAAGGTGTATTATATGACGAAGAAATCAAAACAAATATGGAATGCTTAAAAGCATTGCTTCTGACAGTGGATTGCCATTGATGTCAGCAAATGATGTAAGAACTTCAGTGATTTTGGTTTTCATCAAGAAAATCATGGGAAATGGTGAGATATCAGCTTTTATATTAGATTATTATGAGTTGTTTTTGTTGTCATCATTATATCCATCCAACCAAATGTACCTTTAGCTCTACTAGCTATTTCAAATGAACACGAAACTGAAAAAAAAAAAAACCAGGAGTGTTCTAATAAATCCATTTTTTTAAGGGCCACAGCCCAACGACTCCGCAATAATATGTTACTCAATTAGTACTTCTGAAAAGACTTTTGACCATATTTTAGACTGTGTCTGTGGGAATCTTTGTCAATTCACCCTGCAGCGCAATTATGAAGTCTGAGTTTGGGTGAAAGGGCCTGACAAATAATTTCCGCTATAGTTTATTCCAATGGTGGATGATTGTCCCTTCCTGGAGCCATCGGCTTATTGTGGTGAAACGACTTGCGTGTCTCAATGATCCTCGGACCTACAGTCACCTCATAGAGGTGACATGGGACCCCCTTTCCATAGGTTCACCATCCATGGGATGGGCCAAGCGGGTCATGTGCAGTGTGAACCTGGGTGGTGGCTAAAGGTCTCGGTGGCCAGATCCCCATGTGCAGAAGCCGATTGTAGGGACATGCAAAGTCACCTCTCAAGCAGAGAAGAAGACTGAACTGGCGTGCAAGGTTTACTGTAGATGTTCCAAGGAGATAAAGTATAGGGACAGGGCATGGGCAGATTACCGGTTTGGTGATTTACGGTCAAGGTTTCAAATAACCCCTAATACTGCCAGTTTTGGGATAGCTAAAGCATGGCACAATACGATCGTCATTAATAACGGGCAGGATGAAGAATCAGATTGATCACATGTACATCAACTAGCCTTGTGCATGAGAAAGTCCTCTGCGGGCAGCACTGGCTCGCAGCGGGTAACCAGGTTCTTGGCACCCCGCTGGCTACCCCTGCAGTACAGTGGATGGGGCATTGTTAATTCATGACAATATCTGGTCACACAGCCCTTTTCAGGCTCCAGCTCCATTAAAAAATATCAGGTTGTTTCCCATGTCGAAAATTCACTTCTGCTGGCCTGAAATTTGACAAAATGTAAAACCCATTTATTAGTTATGGCTTCCTGGAGTAATGCAGAATGAGCCCTTAATCTATTATGTTTTATATATCATATTTAATTTGCAAGCTCCTTTGTACAATATTTTACGACATGTGCTGCACTGAGAAGACTGTTTTTTTTTTTGTTTTGTTTTTTTTTCAACTTTTGATCTCCACCGTGGCAGCACAGTGTGTGACTGGTTAGCACGTCCACCTCACAGTGCACGGGTTCGATTTCGGCTCCGACCTTCCTGTGTGGAGTGTGGATGTTCTCCCCGTATGCCTGCATGGGCATTCTCCGGGTAATCTGGTTTCCTCCCTCATTCCAAAAACATGCATGGTAGGTTAATGGGGCACTCTAAATTGTCCTTAGGTGTGATTGTGAGCATGGATGGTTGTCTGTGTGTGCCCTGCGATTGGCAGGCAACCGGTTCATGGTGTACCGCGCCTGTTGCCTGAAGACAGCTGGGATCGGCTCCAGCATGCCCGCCACCCTGATGAGGATAAGTGGATTAGAAAATGGATGGATGGATGGATGGATCTCCACCGTGTATAATATCAATTATCGCAACTTACGACCATGATGTTGACACACACTTCCTGCTTGTTCTTCTTCCTTTGTGTCCGGTATAGCATGTATTTTTTGCGTGCTGCGCATACACATTTCATATGTGTGGCTTGCTCTGCACGGTGAACTAGGTGTCAAAACTTACCACTGACAATTTAGCCTGTACCTCACGGAGTGGCAAATGCTTGCAAATGTTGCTGTTTTTTTTTTTTTTTTTAGGGTTCCGAAAAGGTTGCAAACATTTTTTTCTTGTTGCAAAGAAATTTTGTCCATGAGCAAAATTTCCAACATTAACAAGGATTTGTGACTCAATAAGCTACGTTTTTAAAAGTATTGAATGCTTTTGAAACAGCTAAAATGTCGGTCTCGTTTCAACTCGATTTTCGATGCCGAGCCCTATGCATAGTAAAACAGCTTTGACAATGGCTTTAATGTGTGCAACTTCACTGTTTATCTGTGCAAAAAAAACATGACTGGACCAGTTGAATGAAGTTAATCAGGGTTACATTTAAAGCTAAATTATACTGTAGCTAGTGGTTACATATTAAATTTATTGAGCTTGGTACTATTTTTCAATGTCGGTGAACCTGTCTGTAGCTTTTGATAGACTGAGAGCAGAGAGCCTTTTATTGGATTTATCGGTGATTAAAGTGGCACACTTATTCCTTGTGCTTTTTTCTTTATTACTCCTATCAGTAAAGGTCAGACACATGCATTACATCCCACTCGGCCTCCAGCCATCTGCAACATGGAGGTGGCTAAGGGACATTACCTCATCACTCCAGTGGAAAGAATCAAATCTTTGTCTTATACGTGCACAAATAAATGGTCAGCACGGTCACTCGTTGCTCTTAATAAAAACATCAATAAAGAAGCTAAGTGGAGAGGTTACCATATATATATATAGAAAAATCACAAGTGAAGAGGGACCGCCTGTTTGATTTGCAGGGCGGTGGATATGCCGTGAAGGAGAAAGAGGGGGGGGGGGGAACTGATGGAGTCATATTAACTTCCTGTGCATCTCAGCATCATCCCATTGCGTTGAAAGGATCACCGCATGAGAGCAGAGAGTCGCTCATTCATTCGCAGCCATTGATGCGTCATGTAGCGGACATAGGACAAACAACAGCAGGAGGCAGGCTTGTTTTTTTTTAGCGAAATAAAACATAGAAAATAAACCCCGAGGATGTTTTAAATAGAAGGAAGCTCGTCTAAGCCTTGATTGCTGAAAAGAACCAAAAAATAAAAAAACTGAAACTCAGACAAACTTGGCATATGCGTCGCCATCCAGGGGTGTAGCCGTGGTGCGGTGCGGTGACTGTAGTGAGTCTCCGGTCGTGTGACTGAGGTGGAGGATCGGGCAAGGTGGCCGAGCAGTCAGGAGGATGCTGGAGGGCAATGCCTGGAGAAAGAGAGTATGAGATTTGTCGAAAGGCGCTCGAGCTGCTCTCCGACTTGTGCTCCAAAGGAGAGGTGCAGGATGACAACTGCTTGGATTTCACCTACTACTTCAGGGACCTGGCCAGACCTCGCTACACGGACTCAGGTAAGGCTCCATATAAGCACCACGAAGAGTTGACACGCAACTGCCTGAGGATCATAAAATACTTCGATTGAGATTAGGTATCTGTTTTTTTTCTCTCTCTCTTTCTCTTTGAACAATTCAGTCACCACCTTACGCAACGCTTTCTTGTCATACAGCAAGCACGCAACTTTATATCCATTTGCCCGTGCGCACAATTCTTCTAACTTTAGGGGTTTTTACATACAACAAATGGCGACTCATTTCATTGCAAATGTGAAAAAAAGTAGCAATTGTGAACTTTTTGCTTGCATCTTTGAAAGTCTCAATTGTCGAACACAGCGCAGCAAGCTGAAACTGAGAGTTGTTTTGATTTTTCTAATCGTCTTCTAATGGACTCGATGGACAGTGAGGTAGAAAAGCCCCACCCAACAGCTGAAACGGAGAGTTGTTTTGATATTTCTAATCGTCTTCTAATGGAGTCGATGGACAGTGAGGTAGAAAAGCCCCACCCAACATTCCTCTTAGCTCCGATGAGCACTTTGCAGGAATGGCAACCGCAAAAACAAACAAGATATAAAAACGCATTCATTTTGCTTGTTTGACTCTCAGATAGATGCATTTGGCAGCTTTTCACAGATGTGCAGAAACAGAATATTCAGAGACCCAAAAAGCCAGTATGGAAACAAGATCGTTCAACAAAAATTAACAGGACATTCATTTCAATAAAAAACAAAGTCACACTGTCTCTCCTCTATATAGGCTCCTGCGCATTGGTAATAAATGTGCAAACTTTACATATTTATATTTGAACAGATACATGTAAATTTCTTATTGTGCATGCGGTGCAAGTTGCCTTTGTTAATTGCCTCTAAGGCGTGGCTGTTGCCTTTTAAAAATAATACAATCCATCATTAAACATGTATGATGACGAGGAATTTCAAGCTGCCAGATTAGTTCCCCCGAGGAGCTGTGACCCACTTCCTCTTGTATTAGGCTGCTCTAAATGCATGCACACGTAGTTTGATCCACATCAAACAACGCTCCTGTAAACCGGAAGGCTACAAGTACTGTACAATGGGTGATGCTATCTGACAAAAAAAAAAAAAAACTCTTGCCGGGAACCTGTTGAGACACTCAGACAATTGGTTCCACAGGACAAAAAAAAAAAAAGAAATGTCACAGAACATGCATTTCAATTGATCAATCATACTCTGGAAAATAGTTCACTCAATTTGATATGAGCTACGTTGCACAAAATAAGAGCATCTGGATCTGCAGATGCATTTTATAAGTCGACTCCTACTCTACTTTCAAATTGTATTTGAATGCAGATGCTTTTATTTTGTCCTACTCCTTGATGAAATAAAATTGCATAAATTCATCCATCAATCCATTTTCTAATTGCTTATCCTCGCGACAAAAATTAGTTGGACACCCCTGATTTAGAGTGTTCCATTAACCTGCCATGCATGTTTTTGGAATGTGGGAGGAAACTAGAGTACCCAGAGAAAACCCACACAGGCACGGGGCGAACATGCAAACTCCACACAGGAAGGCTGGAGCTGGAATCGAACCCTGCACTTCTGCACTGTGAGGCAGATGTGCTAACGAGTCAACCACGGTGCCACCGAGTAAATTCAACACACATTTTTTTCAGTGTACAGTTTCCAGTTGAAGTGATTTGTCATATTGTGGCATCCAAATGCAAATGCCAACTTGTACTTAAAAAGTACACCATTTGCCATTTTTACATTCTTAATGATCATTTCATATCATATCATTATCATTTGTGTGAATTTACCATACCAATGTGTTAGTTGGCCCACTCTTACCTAAAAGGTCCCTTCACACAAAGGAAATCATTGATAGACATTTGATATAAAAAATCAAGCACTGATACTGAATTTAAAGAGGATTATTCCCCACCAAAGCGATGGCTGATTTAAATGTTTGTTTTTTTTTTTTTTTTGCTTGCATGACCCAATGACTGCACAATTTCACACATTTTCTGTCAAAATGAGACGCTACGTTTTTTTTAAATAACGCACCACGCATAGATTGTTGTTTTTAGATCAACGTTCGACATCTTTCCTACACATACAGTACATACACACGGAATTTCAAAGGATGAAACATGGAAAATGAATACAACTGGAATAAAAAAAAAAATCAATATCAAAATTGTAATAAGTCAATTCGACATTTCCCTGACGAACAACTGTATGTGTAAAGGGACCATGAAGAACAGCATCTCGATCGGATTATGAATCGAATATTACAGACGTAACATGTGTCAAACACCTTATGGCAACCGATTGTTACTTTACTTTAAATGTGACCAATGACATTAAACGCATGCAAAAATATTCCCCTCATAAACTTGCTTAATGTCATTTGAAATAATCTCTTGAAGAATGACCTAACTGGATTCAGGACATTGCTGGCTGTCTTGATTCGTTCTACGTGAACACGACAGCACGATTCATTGTTAGCTGCTGCTTTTTGGTTGGAGCCCTTGTAAGGAGTTGCTTGGATCAAAGGGATATAGCATGAACAAATGGTTGTTGCTGCTCTAGTTACTGGCCTCGGGAATGCATTGATGCAACAAACAGTACAAGCAAAATCTTGTAGCCCGTAATTGTAATTAGGTCAACACCAGTCCAGACATTCTTATTCATTTTGACCTGGAGACCATCTGCATGGATTTATGTCTTTGAATATATTAGCCTGAAGTAGAAAGGCACATGCTGTTCGTTACCTTGTGGACCAATCTTTTGCTTGGCATGACAGGAATGTAACATTCTTTATTAAAAAGATACAATACATTCACATTCATTCATTTTCCGAAGCGCTTTATCCTCACTAGGGTCGCGGGGGGTGCTGGAGCCTATCCCAGCTGTCTTCGGGCAGTAGGCGGGGTACACCCTGAATCGGTTGCCAGCCAATCGCAGGGAACACAGAGACGAACAACCATCCATGCTCACACTCACACCTTGGGACAATTTAGAGTGTTCAATCAGCCTGCCATGCATGTTTTTGGAATGTTGGAGGAAAACATGCAAACTCCACACAGGGAGGCCAGAGCTGGAATTGAACGAAACCTCTGCACTGTGAAGTCGACGTGCTAACCACTGGGCTACCGGACTGCCAGATACAATACAATACAATACAATACAGTACATCCTCATTTATATAGCGCTTTCACAACAGCTGCAGCTGTTAACAAAGCGCTTAACAAAACAGTTAACATAAAGTAAAATAATAAACACAACACTAAACATTAGAAAAAAATAAGATAAACTAATCTTTCTAATCCTACGCAAAGTGTTGATGTTTCTTGAATTGCCTTTTTTGGAAAATGATTTTATATAATTGAATTGAGCCCAGAGGAACATTAAAGACTCCCCCCCCCCCCAAAAAAAATAGTAGTAATTAAAAAAAGAAAACAAAGCAAATAGACAAAACCCACTTGGGACTTTGTGTTCGCATTCTCCTCGACCCTTAATGTGAGTCGGTGGTTTTATTTCATAACTCCGAAATGATTGCAGGTCTCAGTACTCTCACAAGAACACCTATTAGATTCACATTAGTAGATCGGTTAACAAAGTATTTACGAGACTTTGGACCGATCTCATTGGCCGATATTTTGTAAATTTTATAATTGACCGTAATATCATAATTCACCGATTCGCAAATTTGAACATTACAACTGAAGTAGATGCTAATGTGTCTGTGGCAGGCTGCCACAAATGAATTTAGGCCCCCACTGATAGATTTTGGTGCTAGCTGTCATCATGTGACCTTTGGATTACTTTAACTTTATTTTGCTGCACAGAGATTGTGTCACTGTGCTCCTTGTGTGAGTCTGCTCATCGATACCTTTCCTTTGTGGTATACTACTGCAAATACAGTGTCTCAAATGACTGAATATCAAACACATGTTGAACTTTGAAATTCAGACTACCGGATATATATTGTTCTGTGTCTTGGACCGGGCTATCTGTGCAGGTCCGTCAGGGAGGCGGGAAAAGCAGCTAGCCAAGTCATGTCGATTGAGGCATTATACGCATGTGCGTTGTTTCTCTTCTCAAAAAAGGCAAAAAAAGAGAGAGAGTATGGACACATTCCTTGCTGGTGGGGGGAGGGCCGTATGGACTGCCCATTCTCCAAAAAGAATTTGAGGTAACACGTTTTTTTTTTTAATGATATGCATTTGCAAATTAGCTACTAGCAATACAGTTAGCAAACGTAGCATCAGTTGAAATTCTACATATGCGTTCCAGTATTTTGTTGAAATCTCTTTTTAAATTTAAAAAAAAAAACGTTTTCTTTTTCCATTAAAAAAAAAAACCACATTGTTAAACGCAATCAGTGTCGCAGTTGTTTATGAAACAGCAACTTGGGCTTACACAGCTTGTCATTTGCTCATTTCGTACCGAGGCATTAACCGCACATTCATCATAAACAGAGTACATAAGCCAACCCCAGTCCAGAAGATCTAATTTTGGTTTGCATTTTTTTTCACACGGACACTCTTGTTTGACTTAAAAAAAAAAACAAAACAAAAACACAGTTCAAAAGAATCAAGGCTTTTGCCCTCAGGGGATTTGCGTGCTCACAAAGCCTCACAAGTTGAACCTTTTTTTGTGAGCCAGTTGGATGGAAAGCTTCCAGGGTTCAGAAGGTTTCATCTGCCCATCATTAGACTTGACGCGGACTATTTATACACCGGGAATGGGACACAGGTGGAGACAATCACCATAGAGCGCAAAAACACGAGGCCAGGAGTAAAGCTTCTGAAAAAAAAAGGAAACTATGATTATACAATCAAAACAGACATGACAACATGAAAGACAGGACTTAAAACTGAGAACTTAAACATAAATGATGAGAAATGTCAAAATTGTTTGTTGAAGTCATATCGTTGAAAATTCTTCTGTTTTTTTTCATTTCCATTTTTTCCCCTCCGGATAAGGACAGCGACGTTATTGTAATGGCATGCAAATTTTTTCTTCATTTTA